ACAATAAAGTGTAGTTTATATCAGAACTACCCTGCATATCTACAGAGTGAACGAGGGGCCGCTGTTCGCAACCGCTTATTCGTCAGTCCAAATTAATGGACTACTTATTTCGAGACTAACCTGCAAATTTGCAGGCCGTTCCTCAACCAAAACCAACCTGAGGACGCGTCCGATTCCCCGAGTTTCGTAGCCCCGTAGAGCCCAATCTCACCAACACTGTAGTGTAGCGCAACGGAAGAACAACAAACCCCCTAAAACGTAAACTGACCTAATGCAATGGGAGGTGTGGAGATGAAACCCAACGTAAATTAACAACGTTTATAAGAATTTTATCAACGGCTACCAGACTCTTAGGTGATCATATTTCCATTATCAAAGGTGTCAACACACTATAACGCTCATAAGCGTTTGTAACTTTATTATTAACATCAAATGTACAGCTATTATAACTATTAATTTTATCATAGACTAAATGACACTTAGAGAAGCATATTTCTAACATCAAAGGTACTATCGTACAGTAATGATAATTTCCGTATGCATTTTATATGAAAAATGAAACCACCGGTGGTGTTTCACGCCTACAAATTTTATTCTTTACTATATAACCGGTTCAACACTTCCTATCTTGTCTATTTGTTTTTAATTATTATTAACGTGCAGTTGTCTTTTTAAAAATTAGCAATTTATAATTTTCATGATTTTGATAACGTACACGTATAAATAAAACCATGAACCAGCAACCTCAATCGTCTTTTTTAAGGTATGTAGATTTTTTTAATTATAAACTTTTGTAATTTTAATAAATTTATATTTTACATCTTTTTAATTTTCAAATTCATTAGTTAATTAAAAATAATAAAATAAATCATATACCGAGTTTTATTTTAATTTATGATTTATTTTTATTATGTTTATTTCATGTTTAATTTGTTAAATTGTTCTTTTTATTATTTATAAAATAATCTGAAGTTGGGTGAAAGTAAAAACTAATTGTTAGCATTTATTCATAATTATACTTTAGATTCAGTGAGGTTTAATTTAGAATCTAATATTGTAAAGTATACAGTTATTGACCCACTTAAGTAAAATATTTAAGTTTTAATTAGTATACTTATTTAATTATATAAATTAAATTTTTTTCACTTAATTTTATAAGTTAAAAATATTATTAGCGATCGAAATACGCCTTCAGAATTCGTGTAAAATCAATATAAATATATATATATATATATACAAAGGCGTAAAGCATTTGAGTAAATGTATTTGAATAAAAGTATTCAAATACTTTCATTGGTATTGAATAGTATTTTTAAATACATTTAATAAAAAGTATCTGAGTAGTATTTTAAATACAATTATTTAGTATTTAATACTGTTTAATATTCAGTACTATTAATATACTTTTTTTTTCTAATTTGCTAACCGTAACACAGCAAGCAAATTAAACTCAGTCAAAATGAAAATTGAGAATAATTCTCTGTTATTTTATATGTTACATTATAGTATAACATAATTATTGTGCTTATCTAAATGCTATTATGTATACATCTATTTTTAATACATCAGTTGAACCTACAATAGCCTATTGCAGGTTCAAATGATTTACTCTATTGTCAATAAGACATACTTTACAGGTTTTTACACGTGTACTAATATTTATTTTTTTCACTGATTAGTCTCCAATAATTAATTTTATTTATCTCTAACAAAAAATATCGAAAATAATAAATGAGTTCTCTTAATTTAAGAGTACTAAATATTTGACTCAAATTACCCTCTTGGCAATTATTTAGGTGGAACCTTTTGCTCTTAGTTAAAATAAAAACATTATTATTATTTTTTAATTGTATTCTTAGTATTTGAAATATTTTTGTTAAGTAATTGAGTATTACTCAAATACTTTTGTATGAAAAGTATTCAAATAGTATTTTAAATACATTTTTTTTTAAATATTTGAGTATTATTTAAAATACTTTTTAAAAGTATTTTTTACAACTATGTATATATATATATATATATGTTTTATTGTTTGTTTTTGTAAATAATAGATTTTTGTAATTTTTCAAAATGTACAGTTATTGACACTCTTTTTATTGGTACCCTTTTTAAATTGTTTAAATTGCATTTGAGTAAAAATTAAAATTTTGGTAGAAATATAAAGCCAATTGTCTGCCTAGTTATTAAAAAAAAAATTGAATTTATTAAACCACAACATAATCTTTTATTGATAATTGTTTTAAACCAGTGATAATAACCATACCCCCGCTAATAACTGTATACTTTACCCTATTATTTCAATAATTTATTTTATTTTTTATCAAAGCTACATCGTTTACATCTGTTTCATCACGTCTGGCAGCTAAGCATAGCTAAACAACAGCGCGGTTAGGTCAAAAAGGTTACGTATGCGATTGATGGATAACCATGATTTCACAGAGATGGATTCCGCATTAGAGTGAGAGGCTGTTTAGTTTTATCGAAAGAACGTAGAAAATTACGAGTGCTATCGAGATTTTCTGCATGCCGTTAAATCCGAGCTGGTCGCCAGACTCGCTGAAATTGTTGGTAACCGTCTGATTAAGTATAATCTCAAATTGGTGACCTCATACCATATACCGAAATCGGAAGTACTGCTTGAGGATCGTGCCTTCAAGACACAAGCTAGGATATTGCTATCCGATACGATTATCGGGTGTGCGGCCGATGAAGATTTTGAGGTTTGCCGAGGAAAACGCGTACTCGGGAAGGGGCTTTAATCTATCGCATATCGACGGCCTACAATTATACAAGTATACGCCCCTCGCCGGCTCATCATATATTCCGAATCCACCCGACATTAATCATAGAAACGTGATCATCAATTCAAAAAACAATACAGATCACTGTTTAAAGTGGGTTATTTTGGCGACACACGTCAAGGGAGACAACAAATATTGCATTAATGAAACATATTTTAATAAAGAACACGGGTATGATTTCACGGGGTGGACGTTAATTTTGCTTTAAGAATAATCTTCCAATTTCTTAAAACTAAGACTATCTACAGATTTGTTCAGAATTTATACAGAAAGTGTTCCGGAAAGTCTGACACTTTTATACATATCTTAAATTAATGATTATGTAATATACATTATTATTGTTGCAAATTACATTCCGCATAAATTAAATGAAGATTATATCTCAAATATTCGAAATCATTATTAAGAATTGAACTGTTTTACATAAAAATTATATTGCGCTTGAATTGAAATTAAAAATTGAATATTAAAAATTATTGAGTACACTAATAAAATGTATTGTTGGTAATAGTTAATTGTATTTTCACAATTAATATTAAAATAATTCATATTATATAAAGAAAACAATTATTTTAAATATTAACGGAACAGGATAGAAATTTATCACAAAAATTAACTTAAATAAATTTATAAAATGGTCTATTATCATCAGTATATTCAATTTGTAAGTTTGAATCATTTTTTTCTTCACACAAAACATCTAATTTTAAACAAAAATTAATTATTACAAAATATTCATAAAATGATGTTTCAAATTGATTATATGAAATAATAGATATAAATAATTAATAATAATGTTATAATATTTTATAACCATGGTGACACACAAAAACAATGATTTTGTACGGCAAAAGAATATTTAATATATTATGTATTATATAAGTAAGATTTAAATTTTTGTGTGAAAATTCTAGATTTTAATTTTTACATTTTTAAATTTATAGTGCTATAACTTATTGAAAAGTGTATGGATCATCACAATTTTTTTATGAGAAATAATATTTTTTAATAATCCCTTTTTCATTCGACATACTTTATCTTTATCAGGATATTAATAATGAACTAGCAGATCATGTAACTTTTGTAATAATACACCAATTTTTTAAAATTAAACACTATCTAAAGATTTGCATCGAAGCGTTTTATTTTGATAGTGATTTTAATCACTGTCAGATATCATTATACTTGATTCAACTATGCCACGTCACCACTGTGCCAATGTTGTTGAATCTCTTCAAGCAAATACAAATTTAAACAATCTTATTTAGTCGTTAGTGTTATTAAAATAGCAAAACTATAAATCTGACTATAATTTTACATAAGACCAATATTTTAAAAAATTTAACTTGACATATTTTTTTTACGAAACATTTTGTTGTAAAATGATTATTTCGAGAATTAAGAATGATTTATACTCAAAAAATGAAGTTTAACAAATTATTTTTTTGAGCAAGTAAAAATAATTTTAGAACATTTTTGTGAATATAATTTTAGAAGAAAATATTAAAATCTATAATTTATATTCTATACATTGTTTTCAATGATTAACCGACTAATAAAAATAGTTCACATAATTTTTAAAGAGGAGCAGTATTTATTGTTGTCGCCACTTTTACAAACGTAAAAATTAAAAACGCGCTGTCCTCTTTATCGGTGTTATGCATTTGTATGACAAAGAGCAGGTAATGATAAACTAAGAACAGTATACAAGGTATTAAGTGTAAAATAAGATTTTAGTATTTACGAATACTTCTGTTGCGCATAGAACGAAACTTTCCGATAAAACTGAAAATACATCATTAGTCATCGGAAAAAAGAACTGCTTTTTAATTTTCAACCCATATTTATCAGTTTTTACCAACGACTTACAAACTAAAAATAAGTAAAATAGTAGTTTTTACTGTTATTAATTGTATAATAATTTATTTTAAGTATTCCTTAATTATCTTCTTATTATAATTAAGTGTACTTAATAAAAATTTTAGTTAAAACTAATCGAATATTTTTAAAAACTATTTAATAGTCTATTCGAATACTTTTAAAAACTATTCGAATAGTATTCGATAGTTTAAAATATTCGAAAATGCCCATCAAAAATTAGTATGTTTATATATATAATTATAGAAAGTTTGTGTGTATATTGATCTCAAATCTTAATAGCATATCAAAAAGTACTCAAGTATATTATAGTATAATTACCTCCTTTTTGAATTCCATCCTGTTTATCTAATTCATTGGTAGGCTTAATCAAATTAATAGAGGGATATTGTGCAATATCTAAAAATAGTATAATGCTTTTTAGCTCAATTAAAAATGTATTTATATTAAAAAATGGATATACAATAGTGTATTAGGAATACTTTACCATGTTGATGATTCCCTTCTAGCACATCTACTTCATTAGTATGTTGTGTCATATTTATTGGATTTTGTGTGATATCTAAATATGTTAATAAAAAAAATGTAATTCAGTTTTATATTGTTTCAATAGTTATACCTTGATTTTATTAGACCTTGATGATCACAAAATAAATGATTTTGTACAGTAAAAGAATATTTAAAATATAATGTATTATATAAATAAGATTTAAAAGTAGGAAAAAGTGTACTCTAGTATATTATAGAACAATTACCTCCTTTTTTAAATCCATCCTGTTTATCTAATTCATTGGTAGGCTTAATCAAATTAATGGAGGGAAATTGTGCAATATATAAAAATATAATGATGCTTTTTAGCTCATTTAAAAATGTATTTATATTAAAAAATAGATATTCAATAGTGTATTAGGAATACTTTACCATGTTGATGATTCACTTCTAGCACATCTACCTCATTAGTATGTTGTGTCACATTTATTGGATTTTGTGTGATATCTAAATATGTTAATAAAAAAAATGTAATTCAGTTTTATATTGTTTCAATAATTATACCTTGATTGTCATTGGTAGGTGGAGTAGGTAAAAATGTCTGGCTTGTATTCAAATCAAATTTAAATCCAAGTTCAATGTACTTTTTCCAAATTGTTGTTTGGATTAAATTTANGCTTGTATTCAAATCAAATTTAAAGCCAAGTTCAATGTACTTTTGCCAAATTGTTGTTTGGATTAAATTTATGATTTTATCACTAAGAAATATGAATAATTCTTGATATATTCCTTGAGATTTTAGTGTGTCAAATTCCATATTCCATAAATTCCACAATAAATTCAAATCAAAAGGTTTTAGTTCGCAAAACGATAAATCTTCTTCAAGTTCACATTTCCTATTGCTTAGAATTTCCTCAATACTCAATAATGTATTTTTGATGGAATCNATTTCCTATCCCGTAGAATTTCCTCAATGCTCAATAATGTATTTTTGATGGAATCCATACTGATACTGAAAGAAACCAATTTGTTAAAATCTTCATTTTCTTGTAGATTTGTCAGAACTTTTCTCAAAATAAAACGGTTTTTTATTTTGTTGATCATAGGAATATTATGATAACTATCTATAGCATGTAGAGCTCCTTTCATTAATTTTGCTACTGGAATAATTTCATTCATTTTTGTTAATAGTGTGACCGCACAATCGTACATCTTATACCAGTTTCCAGTAATTAATAGCTGACAACAATGTTTTTGAAAATTTAATAATACAAAGAACATTATATATAAATCACGAGCATAAGAACATCCAAGGAATATCGTTGATAGACGTATGAAATTATTACATTCGTATACTGTTACAGTTTGATTAATCACCTCGTTCAGTTTATGCCGTTTGCATCGATATTGAATACTTTCGACATCATTTATATTTTTCCATCCGGGTATATGTAGAAAATTATTTATTATATCAGTGTTTTTTTTTATATTTTTTCTTCCTTCAGTATGCAAAAAAGCGAAAAATATACAAAAGTATACTTGAATATTTAGTACTATTGCTATTTTCATTTTCTAAAATGTTCTTATACTAAGAAATAAAAGTCTAACATAATTTGTTTCAATGTTATAGTTATATTAATATTTATTTCATTTTCATATAAATATAAACTGGCATATAATGGAAAATGTTTAAACACAGGTGTTTAAACACTCGATTTTATTTTTTACATTTTTAACTTAATAATGCTATAATTTTTTTTGAAAAATATATGGATCAACACAATTTTTTTATGAGAAATAATATTTATATCCCTTTTTCATTCGACATACTTTATCATAATCAGGATATTAATATGAAAATAGCTGATCATGTAGCTTTTGGAATAATTCACCAATTTTTTAAAATTAAACACTATCTAAAGATATGCATCGAAGCGTTTTTTTTTTTTTAGTGATTTTAATCACTGTCAGATATCATTATACTTGAACCAACTATGCCACGTTACCACTGTGCCAATGTTGTTGAATCTCTTCAAGCAAATTCAAATTTAAACAATCTTATTTAGTCGTTAGTGTTATTAAAACAGCAAAACTATAAATCTGACTATAATTTTACATAAGACCAATGTTTTAAAATATTTTAATAAGTTATGGTAGTTTAAAGAAAAAAAAAATGAATAAAATAACAAAACTGATCGTTTTTAAAAATTGTAATTTTTTTGGAAATTTCCCTCATTTACAGAGAACGAGGGAAACTTTTTCAATTTTTAAGGGTAATGTCTCCAACTAGTTACGATTTGTGATCTTTAATGTATTGTTCATCAAAATCGGTCCAATGAGAGCTTGGAATAAGTAGTGACAGACATAAAAACCCAGCATGGGTAGATTTTTGCAACGCCTATCAGCGTGAATTATTCTAAATGTATACATGTTAATGTTATGTATGTAATGTATATAATAATATAATATAATGTTATGCACATATATATATGTTATATTGATTGTTGTGTACTATGCTTCTTAACTTAGAATAAATATCATGTTATGTTTAATTTAATAAAATAAACTGAAAATCACTAAAAACACGGACGACAACATACCATGATGGGAGTAATTAAAAATAATATAAAAATTAATACCTTTTCAGCTTCGCATCGAAGCTAAAAATTTTACACACAATGTTTATATCATAATAAACCCTCATTCTGCTCACACATAAATAATATTGTTTATACACCTGTATATAATCAGTCTTTTTTTTTTATGGTTTATATTTAGTATGAAAATGAAATACATTATTAATATAACTATAGCATAGAAACAAATATTGTGTTAATTAATTAATATGAAATTTGTTCATTATTATATTTTAAGGATATAAATAAAACATTTTATACGAAGTGTTTTAAACGTAATAAACTCAATGACTTCCTCCCGCTCACACATAAATAATATTGTACACCTGTATATAATCAGTTTCTATTTTTTTTATATAGTTTATATTTAGTAAGGATATTAAATATATTATTAATATAACTATAGCATTCAAACAAATTTTGTGCGACTATAATTTTTTCTAAGTATAAGAACTTTTTAAAAATGAAAATGGAAATGGCTATAACATTAAATATTCCAGTGTACTTTTGTATATTTTTCTTATTTTTGCATACTGAAGGAACTCACAATAAAAAAAAAAACGCTGATATAATAAATAATTTTCTCCATTTACCCGGTTGGAAAAATATAAATGATGTCGAAAGTATTCAATATCGATGCAAACGGCATAAACTGAACGAGGTGATTAATCAAACTGTAACATTAAACGAATGCAATAATTTCATACGTCTATCAACGATATTTCTTGGATGTTCTTACGCTCGTGATTTATATATAATGTTCTTTGTATTATTAAATTTTCAAAAACATTGTTGTCAACTATTAGAGTCTGGTAACATATATGTAGTGTACAATAGTACAATGACATTATTAGCAAAAATGAATGAAATCGTTCGAATGGGCAAATTTATGAAAGGAGCTTTATATGCTATAGAAAAATATCATACTGTGCCTATAAACATACATAAAAGAAACCGATTTATTTTAAGAAAAGTTCTGACAAATCTTCAAGAAAATGAAGAATTAAAAAAATTGTTTAATTTCTATATCAGTATGGATTCCATCAAAAGTACATTATTGAGTATCGCGGATATTGTACGTCAAAGGAAACGTGAACTTAAAGAAGATTTATCATTTTGTGAACTAAAACCCTTTGATTTGGATTTATTGTGGAATATATGGAATATGGAATTTAACACATTAAAATCTCAAAGAATATATCAAGAATTCTACATTTTTCTTAATGATAAAATCATAAATTTAATCCAAACAACAATCTGGAAAAAGTACATTGAACTTGGATTTAAATTTGATTTGAATTCAAGTCAGACATTTTTAACTACTCCACCTACCAATGACAACCAAGGTATAATAAATTAAACAATATAAAACTGAATTAAAATTATTTTTTATTTACATATTTAGATTCCATTCAAAATCCAGATCATACCAATGAGGTAGATATACTAGAAAAGAATCAACAACATGGTAAAGTTTTTTTAATATATTACTGTATATCTAGTTTTTAATATAAATAATTTTAAATTAAGTTAACTATTATTTAAATAGTTTTAGATATTGCCATAACTTTTTTAAAAATATTCGAATCAATACAATTTTTTTTTTATAGATATCTTAGATATCATTTTATATATTTTTGTGAACATTTGACCCTTTAACAGCCCACAGGAAGGGTTTCAAAATGGTAACTTTTTAACAAAAAATTAACTTTTTCCACTTAACTTTTCAAAATGTTCCGAAAAGACTGACACTTTTATATATATCTTAAATTAAAGCTAATGCAATATACTTTAATTTGAAAAAAAAAAATTTGACCTCTGGACTTGTTTTCATGGTGAAAATGACTACCGTAATCAAAAATATGCTATTTTTGTGAAAAAATTCTTTATATTATATTTTACATTTTTTAACATTATGTTGCTATAACTTTTTAAAAAATGCATGAATCAACTTTATTCTTTAATGATAAATACTTTATATATACTTCTTTCATTCGACATACNCATAAATACTTTATATATACGTCTTTCATTCGACATATTGTTTTTTTAATTGGACCATTTCACTATATACAAGGGGGGTTCAAATTTAAAAAATGTATGTAGAAAGTAGAATTTTTTCAACATAACTTTTGAAAATATTCTGGAAAGTCTGACACTTTTATATATATCTTAAATTAAAGCTAATGTAATATACTTTATTATGGTAAAAAAAAATTTCGGACTTTATTTTATCTTCATATTTTATCTTGGTGAAAACAGACATCAAAGTTAATAAAAAAAATACGATTTTTGTAAAAAAATTCTTTTTTATATTTTTAACTTAATAATTCCGTAACTTTTTTAAAAATGAACATATCAATATAATTTTTTTATTTATAGATGCTTGAAGTCTTTACTTATCATTTGGTATATTTTTTTTGTAAATCTGACACTTAACCTTCCTACAGGGGTGATTTAAAATGACAACTTTTTCACAAAAAATTAACTTTTTCAACTTAACATTTGAAAATGTTCCTTAAGATCTGACACTTTAATATATATCTTAAATTAAAGCTAATATAATAAACTATATTATGAAAAAAAAAAATTTCATGGTAAAAAGAGATATCAAAGTTAATAAAAAAAACGGTAGCACAGTGGGGTCGGGGCACAGTGTGGACGAGGCATAGATGGGACAAGTATAGATGATATCTGACAGTGATTAAAATCACTATCATAAGAAACGCTTCGATGCAAATCTGTAGATAGTGTTTCCTTTAGAGAAATTGGTGAAATATTTTAAAAGCAACATGAACTCTTATTTCTTTAATTATATCCTGATTAGTAGTTCTTTGATTTTAAAATATAATATATGAATAAATACTAATTATAGTTTTTAAATTTAGTATGAAATTGTGAGGCCAGCTATGATGTATGGTTCATAGTGTTGGGCGGTTGATAAGAAAGTAGAGCAGAGAATAAGTGTAGCAGAGATGAGAATGCTTAGTTGGATGAGTGGAGTGACTAGAGAAGATAGGATAAGGAACGAGCATATAAGAGGAAGTATAGGTGTTGCGTCAATCGTGGATAAGATGACAGAAAATAGACTTAGATTGTTTAGTCATGGTATGAGGAAAGAAGAATCGAAAGCTGTAAGAACAGTTATAGAAATGAATGTTGAAGGAAGAAGAGATAGAGGAAGACCAAAAAAGAGATGGAGGGATGCTATTGAATGCGATTTGAGGACAGCTGATGTGAGCGTAGAAGATGTGGGAGATCGTGTCAAGTGGAAGCTTAGAATAAGGGTGCCCGACCCCAAGTAGTTGGGATTAAGGCAAAGAAAAAGAAAAATAATTCCGGTGGCAATTGACATAATATGATTGTAGTTTCGGAATGTACAATTTAGCGTTTAGTTGGGTTTAAATAATATAGCGTCAAATCAATTACCTACTCTATCGCTTGTATATTAATATACACTACACTTTAATGATACAATAAATAAATAAACTCACACATACACACATATGCATTTATAACATTGTGTCTAACGTAAGTGTAACATGATAAAAAGTAACCGTAAAATGAAAAAAATGG